AGGCGTGTGACTTAAATAGGCTAAGGGAGTGGCCAATTATCCTCAAGCCTTACTCTCGAGGAGACCTCCTCCTCCCGAGTAGCCACTCCTGCCTTCTGGCAGCCCTGCGTGCTCGAGCATTGAGGAGAGGCTCCTCCACTTCGCTCTCTCCACTTGAAGGAGCCTCTGGAGGTTCTGAAGGCCCTGGCTGAGTCTCTGCCTCTGGCACCACACCCTCTTCAGCCTCCTCGCTGTCTGACGCAAGCGCCGGCTGCACAGGCTGCTGGCGCGACACCACATGATGTGACCTAGTTTGGTAACGAAACGTCTGTAAGAAAACCACCAGCCTCAGAGAGCAGCAAGAATCCCTCATTTCAACCCTGAGCTACCGATATCTTCCTTTATTGGTAGCTTCACCTGTACTTCATCTTGGGTCTTTCAACCGAGAAAGGGGCAACGGCTCAAAATATCCTAGGGAATTTCTGTGGCTTTTGGGGGTGGGGGAACTTGGCCTGGGTTTTCCCACTTTCTAGAACAGAGGTCTTCAAACTTGGCAGCTTTAAGACTTGTGGACTTCAACAAGTCCACAATGATGGCTGGAGAATTCTGGGAGTTGAAGTCCACAAGTCTTAAAACTGCCAGGTTTGAAGACCTCTGTTCTAGAAAGTGGTGACCATGGCCAGTACCTCTTGAGAGGCCTCAGAGGAGATGGCAGACATCAGGTCACCCCAGCTGGCTTCTAGGGTTACAAGAAGATTAGAATGGGGATCTTCCCACTCCCATTCCTAGGCCACCATTCCATCAGCACCCCACACTGGCTCTCCTTCAATGACTCGGAGCCTCTGCAGAAATTAAAGCCGGTGAAGTTTCTGAAGGTCACAAGGGGACTTGGGTACGGTCCTTCGCCCTCTGTGACCCATCTTTGCTTTTCATGGGGGAGGGGGGGAAGTAGGCAAGTGTTTCATTTTTATTTTAGAAATGATAATAATAATAATGGAAGGAGATGCCTTCTCTGTGGGACAGGTACGGTAGGTACAGTTATTCTATTCTATTCTATTCTATTCTATTCTATTCTATTCTATTCTACTCTACTCTACTCTACTCTACTCTACTCTACTCTACTCTATTCTCTATTCTATTCATTTTTATTCTATTCATTCTTATCTATTCATTCTATTCTATTTACTCTATTCTATTCTCCATTTCATATTCTATATTCTATTCTATTCTATTCTATTCTATTCTACTTACTCTACTCTACTCTACTCTACTCTATTCTCTATTCTATTCATTTTTATTCTATTCATTCTTTTCTACTCTATTCATTCTATTCTATTTACTCTATTATATTCTTCTTCATAATCTATTCTATTCTACTCTACTCTACTCTACTCTACTCTATTCTCTATTCTATTGGTTTTTATTCTATTCATTATCTACTCTATTCATTCTATTCTATTTACTCTATTCTATTCTCCATTTCATAATCTACTCTACTCTACTCTATTCTCTATTCTATTCATTTTTATTCTATTCATTCTTTTCTACTCTATTCATTCTATTCTATTTACTCTATTCTATTCTCCATTTCATAATCTACTCTACTCTACTCTATTCTCTATTCTATTCATTTTTATTCTATTCATTCTTTTCTACTCTATTCATTCTATTCTATTTACTCTATTCTATTCTTCTTCATAATCTATTCTATTCTACTCTACTCTACTCTACTCTCTACTCTACTCTACTCTACTCTACTCTACTCTACTCTACTGGTTTTTATTCTATTCATTATCTACTCTATTCATTCTATTCTATTTACTCTATTCTATTCTCCATTTCATAATCTACTCTACTCTATTCTCTATTCTATTCATTTTTATTCTATTCATTCTTTTCTACTCTATTCATTCAATTCTATTTACTCTATTATATTCTTCTTCATAATCTATTCTATTCTACTCTACTCTACTCTACTCTACTCTACTCTACTCTACTCTATTCTCTATTCTATTGGTTTTTATTCTATTCATTATCTACTCTATTCATTCTATTCTATTTACTCTATTCTATTCTCCATTTCATAATCTACTCTACTCTACTCTATTCTCTATTCTATTCGTTTTTATTCTATTCATTCTTATCTACTCTATTCATTCTATTCTATTTACTCTATTCTATTCTCCATTTCATAATCTACTCTACTCTACTCTGTTCTCTATTCTCTATTCTATTAGTTTTTATTCTATTCATTCTTATCTACTTTATTAATTCTATTCTATTTACTCTATTCTATTCTTCTTCATAATCTATTCTATTCTGTTCTACTCTACTCTATTCTCTATTCTATTCATTTTTATTCTATTCATTCTTATCTACTCTATTCATTCTATTCTGTTCTGTTCTGTTCTGTTCTGTTCTGTTCTGTTCTTCTGTTCTGTTCCATTCCATTCCTTTCCGTTCTGTTTTTCTGTTCTGTTCTACCCTACTCTACTCTATAAAAATTGTTTTTAATTTAAAAATGTAAAATGCGTTGTTATCTGCCTTGACCATATAAATAGAAAGACAAGGAAGGTATATAAAAATAAATAAAAATAAATGTGGAAATATACCTGCATCCTCCATCCAGTTGAATGCAATTAGAGATGGTGATCTCTGCACTCAAAATATCTATTCGGGCATACTTTCAGTTGGGAATTCAACAATATTCATTTGGTTCAGCTCTGAGCCTTAATGTAATTTCTTTGCTTTTGGCTTAGTATAAAGTGCAAAAATAATAACTATGGTCTGTAAACGTGCCAGTAAGATAGAAGCCCAGCCACGTGCCAAGTGTCTTATTTAGCAAACGTGGCTAAAACGTGGCTTAGAAGAGCTATATGCAACTTTTGGATACCCTGAATAATGTGCACATTCAGTATTCTGGTCACACCTTGCTTGTGCGATTATTCCTGCTTCAAAAATATCTGTCTGGCATCTTTGTTTCTTCTCTGGCCTATTTATTCTTTCACGGTTGACTTTTCGGAATAACAGAGTTGCAAGGGAGGTCTCCCCTTCTCAAGCAGGAGACCCTTTGCCCGTGATGGTGAATTTACGGCATGTGTGCCACAGCTGGTATACAGAGACCTCTCTGCAGGCACGCGTGCTGTTGCCCAGCTCAGCTCCATCATGTATGCGTGTGCCTCCTGCCAGCCAACTGATTTTCAGGATGTGCGAGGGGCGGGGAGCATGTGGGAGACGTGCGCGCATGCGTGGGAATTGTGCGCGCATGTGTGGGGTCGCAGGGGTCGCACTCGCTTGCGCGGGGGGAGCGCGAGGTGTGTGTGGCGCCCCCCATGGCCCGTTTATGGGCCCAGGAGGCTGCAGAGAAGCCTACTAGGCCCATAACGGGGCTAAGGGGATCGCATGCGCGTGGAGGCGTGGTGGGGGCGTGTACCAGAGGTGGGTTCTCTGATCAGTTCTGGAGAACCGATAGCAGAAATTTTGAGTAGTTCGGAGAACCGGTAGTAAAAATTCTGACTGGCCCCGCCCCCCCATCTATTCTCTGCTTCCCGAGTCCCAGCTGATCGGGAGGAAATGGGGATTTTGCAGTATCCTTCCCCTGGAGTGGGGTGGGAATGGGGATTTTACAGTATCCTTCCCCTGCCACGCCCACCAAGCCACGCCCACCAAGCCACACCCACAGAACCGGTAGTAAAAGAATTTGAAATCTGGCGTGTACACATTGCATTATGGGTGCCGGCATGCGTGCACGCTGTTGCACACACACGCATGTGCTTTTGGCACATTAAGAGAAAAAGGTTAGCCATCACTGCTCTATGCCATTCTGGGCAAATGGCTATTCAATCTTTTCTTGAAAACCTCCAATGATGGAGCACTCATAACGTCTGGATGAAAGCAATTCCAGGTTCCCCTGGTGCACCAACTGCGACCCTACTTGGATCAGGAGGCTCTCCTCACAGTCACTCATGCCCTTGTCACCTCACAATTGGATTATTGCAACGTGCTCTACATGGGGCTACCTTGAAAAGTGTTCGGAGACTACGGTTGGTCCAGATACTGCAAAATCCCCATTCCCTCCCCACTCCTGGGGGAAGGATATTGCAAAATCTCCATTCCCACCCCACTCCTGGGGCCAGCCAGAGGTGGTATTTGCTGGTTCTCTGAACTGCTCAAAATGTCCGCTACCGGTTCTCCAGAACCTGTCAGAACCTGCTGGATTTCACCCTTGAATCCAACTGTTTAAAATGGATGAGTTTTATGGACACATTTATTTATTTATTATTTATTTATTTATTAAATTTATATACCGCCCTATTCCTAAGGGACTCAGGGCAGTGAACAGCGAACGATAAAAATACATGTAATACAAACGTTAATAAAAAAAAAAACCAATTAAAATATACTAAACACTCTGGTCCTAGATAATTCAAGACATCCCAGTTTAAAATAAAATCAAAAAGCAATATAAAGGGAAAGTTAGGCCAGGCCGGCCTGCTGAAACAGGAATGCAGGATTTTTGGCATTGTAGGAAGATTGAATTGCCCTTATTTTTTTTCCAGTAATTATTTTCAATTTCTCGGTCTAATCTTCCAGCCTGAGATTTCCCCATCATCATCACACATCCAAGCATTAGTCTGTCTAGACCAGTTCTCAATTACTGCCTAGGTAGACACTTTCTAACAACACCAGCAGTCAAATGTTTTGTGTCCTTTGGCCCAGGGATCAATTTCTCACAAGGCAACTATCCACGATGGATCTGCTCTTTAGCTGAGCAAAGTCACCTGGATTACCAGGAGCTGAGAACAAACTCTCAACTCGATTCATTCACCATCATCATAGCTTAAACATAGTTTACTGAATAAGCCAGGATTGGCTAAAGAGATGAGTCACAAGTCCCTGGTTCCAGCCATGATGGTGATCAGAGGTGCCAGTTTAAGTGATCCTGATGTTCCTACAATCTACCCGGAGCAACAGGACTTCATTAGAATGGAATGGAATGGAATGGAATGGAATAGAATTCAGAATAGAATAGGAATTCTTTATTGGCCAGGTGTGATTGGATACACAAGGAATTAGTCTTTGGTGCATAAGGTCTCAGTGTACATAAAAGAAAAGATACATTTATCAAGAATCATAAGATACAACACTTAATGATCGTTAGAGGTTACAAATAAGCAATCAGGAAACAATATCAATAGAAATCGTAAGGATACAAGCAACAAAGTTACAGTGATACAGTCATAAGTGGGAGGAGATGGGTGGTGGGAACGACGAGAAGATTAATAGTAGTGCAGACTTAGTAAATAGTTTGACAGCGTTGAGGGAAGAGTTAAATCTTTGCTCCGGTCTTGGGGTGCTCTCTTTCTCTGGGGAAGACCCCAATCTTTCTGCATTTGGATTCTCCAGGGTTTTTTTTTTTCCCCGCGTCCCTTCTCGTCGTGGGGGTGGAGGGGGGGGCAAATAAAACGAAGGAAAATGCCTCTTGCAAACACATGGAACGAACCGACTCGTGGACCTGCACCAAGGGTGAAAAAAAAATCATCTTTTTTTTTAAAATTTTTAAAAAGTGCCTATTTTTTTTAATTAAAAAAAAATAGATAGGGAAAACCGCACCTACTTCGACCTGAAAATTAAAACAAAAAAAAACACCCTGCATCTTAATTAAAAAGGGAGGGAAGAAGAAGTAAATCAAAGCAGAAGAGGGCAGGCGAGCCTCCTTCGGTGGCAACTGGCGCATTCACTTTCTCTTCACCGAAACCCCCCCCCCGTCACTTTCCCTTTCTCATTAAAAGCCAGGCAAAAGGGGGGGGAGGCTAAGTCTCAGTAGCAGCAACTGTTGGGGATTCGCTTATCCCACCCCGGATGCTTAGAGGTTGGCAGGACGGACGTCTTCTTCCTAGCCATCTTCTCCTCCACCACCACCACCCCCTAACCCCCTCCCCACCAAAAGCCCCACCCTACCCCACCCCAGGGGGGGGGCTGAACTGTCTGGCCAGCACGCATGCGCGCGCGTGGGGGGGGGAGCCACAGACGTCAGCAGCCCCAGCCGGCCTCGCCTCGCCCCTTGAAGTCAGCAACGCAAAGCCCAGGCTCGCTCGGCGTCCTCCCCCCCCCTCGCCTTTCCTCCTCCCTCCTCCTCCTCCTCTCTCTCTCTCTCTCTCTCCTCCGGCTGGCTGGCGGACACGCGCGCGCGGGCGCTCTCGCCTCCCCCCCTCCCCACCGCCAGCCTTTCTGCATTTCTCTCCATTAGGACGGGCTGAACGATGAGATCGCTCGCAGCCACCGCCGCCGCCGCCGCCCATTAGAGACCCCCCAGGTTAGGGGGAGGGGAGAGGAAGAGGGGGAGGAAGGGGGAAAAAAATAACCCACCCCAATCCAACAGCAGGGAAAGAAGGAGAAGGAAAAAAAGAAAAAGAAAGAGAAAAAGAAAGAAAGAAGGCAGAGGAAAGAAAATCCGAAGGAGAGAAATTCTGGCCGAAGAAGGAAGGGCGGACCAAACCCCCAAATCTTGAGCACTTTCTCCCCGTTTTGCAAACGATACCGGAGCCGGAGCTCTCAAGCAACCGGGGCCAGCTCGGTTTTCTTCTCCAGCTGGGGCAGAAGAAGCGAGAGCTCCGCTGCCTCCGACCCCGCTTCTTCCGACTCCTCCGGCAGGCGAGCTACCTCCCTTCTCTTCTCCCAGCGCCCCCCCATTCTCTCTCTCCCCCCCCCCCACACACACCCCAACTCTCCTCCCGACCAGCTCCTGCAGCTCCCGCAAGCTCGGCTGGTTCCTTTGGATGCCTTGATTCGCCGGAGCGAGCGAAGAGCAGGGCTGGGAAGCAGGAGGAGAAGAGAGGGAGAGAGGGAGAGAGGGAGAGAGAAAGAAAAGAGAGGGATTCCCCTCTTCTGCCTTTGGCGTTGCAATCCGAGCTTTTCTCCCGATCCGGCTTTTCTTTCCCCCCCTTTGGGCTCCTCCGTGAAAGGGTGGGGGGGAAGAAGCGAAGGAGAAGGGTCCGCCAGCCCGGCACCGTTCCCGATTTGGGGCCACCATGGGATGTACGTTGAGCGCCGAGGAAAGAGCCGCCTTGGAAAGGAGCAAAGCGATCGAGAAGAACCTCAAGGAAGATGGGATCACCGCGGCCAAAGATGTGAAATTACTCCTGCTAGGTAAGCCAAGAGCCGGGGGCTCCCTTTCTCCGTCGGCCCCCCCCTCCCCACTCCAAAGCCCTTTCCTCCGTTCCCTCTTCCCCCCCCCCCCGTCCACACACACACACACACACGGTAGATTTGCACACTCACGTCTCTCCTTTCCTCCCCCCCCCCCCCCCACCCCACCCGTCTGCCTGCTTCTCAGGTGTGGTTCGGCGGCCCCCCCTCCCCCGACCCCCCCCCCCGCTCCTGCTCTGCCCCCTGGCATGATTTCCGCTGCAGCCCCCTTTGGTTCCTTAGAGGTTGCAATTCCCCTCGCTTTGTTACCTGGTCTAAGGCCGTTTCCCCAGAATATTTTATCTTCTCCCCAAACCCCCACCCCCCAAAAAATAAATCACTGCCTTCCACCAACTAGGTGTGTGTGTGTGTGTGTGTGTGTGTGTGTGTTTTCACGCTCCATCTTCTGCCGCACCTTTGGATGGACTGGCTCAAATGTAACCCCGTCTCAGCCCCTCCCCAATTCCCCGCCTCTCCCCAACAGGTAGGGTCTCGCTTACTTACCATCCTCTTGCTGTTGTTTTTTTTTTTTTTTTTTAAAAACGTATCTCCCTTCATCTCTCTCCTTTTTTTGCACCGAAAACTCAATTGCACAAACAGCGTCTTTTTGGCTCCCCTCTTCCCCACCCCCGCCGCGCAGAGCCATTAGTATTTACCACTCCTCTCCCGTATTTATCTGCTTTTATCTTCTTATATTCTCAACACTGGCCAGATTTTGCTTTTATGAAGGTTTTAATGTCCTTTTCCCCTCCCCCTTCCTTTTCTTCTATTTTGTCCCAACAGGGGCTGGGGAATCCGGAAAAAGCACAATTGTGAAGCAGATGAAGTAAGTCAGCTCATCCTCCCTTACCCTCTTACGTACGGCAGCATAGTGAGAGAACTCAAATATTTGCTGATTCTATTTAAAAAAAAAAATCTTAAGTGTGTGTGTGTGGGGGGGGGCACCTGTTTTCCGTTTAGTCGCTTTTTTTAAAAAAAATTTGGAGATGGGAGGGAGAGTAAGGCAACTCGCTCCTTGGTTCAATGGATTTGTTAGGAGCCAATCCGTTGGTCTATGGTAGCCCCCCCCACCCCTCCACCCCAAAAAACCCACCCCACTCAGGAGTCTGGTGACGCTTTTTCTCGACCACCGATTTTATGACAAGGCTAATAATAACTGGGCGCGTTTATGCCTTTTCACGCCCTTCTAAATAAAAAAAAAAATTGGTTGATGGGGAAAGATTCCCCATCAGTGTTGGCCTCAATGAATGAGTCTCCGCCATGTTTAAAGATGGGGAGGAGATGGTGTTCTCGGTGGCTTGAAGGGGAGCCCTGCTTGGCCAGGCCCAACATCTGGAGCAGCTGTTGCAAAAGCTTGAGGCGCAGGTGGGCAGAAGAGGGGAGGAAACCGCCGCCCCCCCTCCCCTCCCTCCCTTTTCCCAGGCTTGGCTGAGCTCTGACATGGCCCCGCTGCGCCAGGTGTGAGGTGCTGTTCACCGCCGTGGTGCTGAAATCGGAATTCCTGTTCTTTCTTTCTTTCCTCCCTCTCTCCCTCCCTCCCTCCCTCCCTCCCTCCTGCGAAGAATGGTGGCCTGGAGGGATGGGGTGGGGTCGGAAGGAGAGAAACTTAGCCCTGGCCTAGGCATTCGTGCACTGGCACCAAATTACTCGGTGGTATTCCCCCTCCCAAATAAACCCCCTGCTTCCTGGACCCCGCTTCCCTTTGCCCGCATTTCCAGTCTTTTGGTCTTGTTAGGGGACTAACTCGGGCTGGGTTTCGGCCCGGACCAGGGCGCGTGGATCTGTGGAAAGGCATCTGATAATACAGATTTGAAACTACTTTCCATCAGCCCTCTTCCCTCCCTCCCTCCTTTCCTTTCCGCAGCTTTCTCGCTTGGAGCCCTTCCCTGTCCTTTAATTAATCAGGACAGAATTTGGCTGCCATTCCAAATTAAGCCGGGGCAGGAGATCGAATTCGTGCCAAGGCCCTCCGCTTCTCTGTCCCTTCCCCCGTGGACACCCGTGTATTGCCGAACGTGTGAGCGTGGCAGATTCCTAGCAAGTGCGGGTCGTAAGAAGTGTGTGGGGGGGGGAGGTCGGTTCCTGCAGCGGATCTATTTCTCTCTCTTGCCCCCTTCTCCGCCAAGCAGTCAGTGACGCCGATTTGAGCTCCCGGGAGGCTTGTGGGGCGGGGCGGGGCGGGGAAGGGCGCGGGAGGCAGATACGACTAGGTGTAGCCCAGGGGGTGCGGGTGTGCACTCAGGCGTACACATGAGTTGGGAGCTCCTCTGCACGGTGCCTCTTTGGCTGGATGCCCCGGCTAAAGGGAGCGAGTGGCCGGATGGTTAGGAGATGACGAAGGGAGAAGCGACAGTCAATGCGGAAGGACAGCGGGTCCTGTGTGTCCTCCCCCCCCCGTTGCAAAATGGCCTTCTCGGCAGCCTTCGGATAGCTCTTGCAGGTTGCTAAGAGAGAATGGCGCTCGGGAGGGGGGGGTTTGGAGAGTTGCACGCAAGCCACACCTGCACGCATACAAATACAGAGAGAGAGAAAGAGAGAGAGGGAGAGGGAGAGAGAGGGAGGGAGAGAGGGAGAGGGAGAAGGAGAGGGAGGGAGGGAGAGAGAGAGGGGGAGGGAGAGGGAGAGAGGGAGAGGGAGAGGGAGGGAGAGGGAGAGGGAGGGAGGGAGGGAGGAGAGGGAGAAGGAGAAGGAGAGGGAGGGAGAGAGGGGGAGAGAGAGAGAGAGAGAGAGAGAGAGAGATCTTGGGTGCCTGCCCGCGGCCAGCCTTGCCTGCCTACCCGTCCATGCATGCCCGTGTCCCGGGTGACTTTTCTATTAGCCTGCCGGGGGCTGTTAAAATAAGCCGCAGGTTTCAGGCGGCGCAGGCGGTGGACAGCGCCCGGCAGAGCTTGGAAGACGCGGTGGGCTCTAGGGAGCTCGGCAAGCTTCGGCTTGGCTCGGCTAAGCTCGGGTGTGGGACTCGCCTGGCCTTCGGAGGCATTCGGTGGCGAAGCCAGCTGCCTCGGCAAGAACCGGCCAAAGTTCGGCTCTGCTCGGACAAAAGGAAGGATGGATTTATTTTATTTTATTTATTTATTTATTATATTTCTATACCGCCTTTCTCCCGTAGGACTCAAGGCGGTGTACAGTCAAGAAAAATATAGATACACAAACATCATAAAATTGCTAATTAAAATTATTATTATAACATAGTTTGGCCCAATTAAATAGAACCTAAAATTAGATAACATTTTTTTAAAAATTTAAAAGTCAAGATGTAACAAGACACGCGTGTCCTGCTGTGATGGGGTGTGCTAAGGCCCATTGAGCAGACACAATGATAACAGAATCAGAATAGAGCTGGAAGGGACCTTGGAGGTCTTCTAGTCCAGCCCCCTACTCTAGCAGGAGATCCTATACCATTTCAGACAAGTGGCTGTCCAGTCTCCTCTTAAAATCCTCCAGTGATGGAGCAACCACAAGGTCTGAAGGCAAATCTGTTCCACTGGTTAATTGTCCTCACTGTTAAGAAGTTTCTCCTTCATTCCAGGTTGCTTCTCTCTTAGATTAGTTCCCATCCATTGTTTCTTCTCTTGCCTTCTGGTGCTTTGGATAAATAAGTTGATCCCGTCTTCTTTGTGGCAGCCCCTCAAATACTGGAATATTGCTATCATGTCCCCCCCTTAGTCATTCTTTTCTCTAGACTAGCCAAACCCAAATCCTGCAACCGTTCTTCATATGTTTTAGCCTCCAGGCCTTTGATCATCTTTTTTTTTTATTAAAAAGTTTTATCAAAGATACAAACATTTTCTCCCCGCCTCCCTCCCCCCCCCCCTCCTTCCCCTCTCCCCCTCCCCCTCCCCGGACTTCCCAGAGCAAATACAGGGTATAGCATTTAACAATCATAAACTAAAATATGCTAACATTTTATAGAGTCCAAATTCTCCCTTGGTTCTTAACTCCACATAGTTCAAAAACAAACTATAGACATAAACTAAAAAAACTAAATTGAGTATGCCTTTGATCATCTTAAATTGCTCTTCTTTGCACTTTTTCCAAAGTCTCAACATCTTTTTTTTGTAATGTGGTGACCCACATTACATGTAATTACATGTAACTGTGGATGCAGGATTCTAGGTGTGACCTTACCGAGGCTTATGTAAAGTGGTACTGATACATCATGCAAGTCATTTTCTAAGTTTTGCTTGCTTGAACCCAGGGGTGGGTAATTAATATGCCAACTTTACCACCTGTGGATTTCAAGTCCCAGAAATCTTGAGCCAGCACTGAAGTCCTCATGAAGTCTGTAGGTTGTAAAACTGCCACAGCTGCCCACTCCTGCTGTAAAACTCAATTTAAGCCCCCAATAGAATTCAGGCATCTCCCACCTTGGCAACTTATGGACTTCAACTCCCAGAATTCCTCGGCCAACCATGAGCTTTTTTGCAGCCTGGATCTCATAGCCCTAATCTCATACTTAATTTCAATCCCTGACAGATTTCTTATACTGATTCCTGCTATTCCTCCTTCCTTGATTTATATAGAAAAGAAGGAAGAGGGAGTATTTTCACAATCTTGCGCTTGAGATTTTCTATTGTCAAGGGGATGGACTCCTTTGAACCTTCCCAGTCCTCACTAGCTGATTTAGTGCCCTTAGGGCTTTTAAGTCCATCATCATATATCACAGGACATAGAATAATAGGGTTGGAAGGGACATTGGAGGTCTTCTAATCCAACCCCATACCCAAGCTGGAGACTATATAGCAGGGGTCTCCAAACTCGGAAACTTTAAGACTTGTGAACTTCAACTCCCAGAAATCCTCAGCCAACATGCACTGCCTGGGGAATTCTGGGAGTTGAAGTCCACAACTCCTAAAGTTTCCAAGTTTGGAGACCTCTGACTGTCCAGTCTCCTCTTCAAAACTTCCAGTAATGGGGCACCTACAACTTTGCTTGCTTTAGATGTCATAAATACAAATAAACAAATAATTCCTCAACACTGTCAAACTATTTACTAAGTCTGCACTACTATTAATCTTCTCATCGTTCCCACCACCCATCTCCTTCCACTTATGACTGTAACTTTGTTGCTTGTATCCTTACGATTTATATTGATATTGTTTCCTGATTGCTTATTTGTACCCTATGACTATCATTAAGTGTTGTACCTTATGATTCTTGATGAACATATCTTTTCTTTTATGTACTCCGAGAGTGTTTGCACCAAGACAAATTCCTTATGTGTCCAATCACACTTGGCCAATAAAAAATTCTATTCTAAAAAAAAATACTATCAAGATTCTCCAACTCTCTAGCCCACTCTAGTTTTGCTCACACAACACAACGAACCTCATTATGCTAAGCCAGGAGTCAGCAACCTGCAGCTCTGGAGCCGCATGTGGCTCTTTCACCCCTCTGTTGCGGCTCCCTATCACTCAAAATATCACTCACAGCCGCCAAGGTGCGACACTTGCCAGCACACGATTTATTGAGCTTTTCAACCCCTGATAGACCAACCATGGATAAATCCACGAAAAGTTTCAGAAGAAAACAGAACATTTAATTCAACTACATATGCTAGTTTTATGGCCGCTCAAGAAATAGTCAGGCATGGGAAGGGTTTTGTGGCTCCCGGTGTTTTCTTTTCTGTGGGAAACGGCTCCAAATGGCTATTTGAGTGTTTAAGGTTGCAGACCCCTGTGCTAAGCCATTCATCAAATGCCCTGGCTTTGTAAGTCACTAACAATCACAACAACAACAAGAAATAACCAACGTTAAAAACTCATCAAATGTTATAAATGTATGTGCTAGGACTTTCACTGACCTGGTTGTAAGAACACAACCCTT